TGTCTGTGGTCTGTGTGTGTCAGCGTGCTTGTGTGTGTCTGTGGTCTGTGTGTGTCAGCGTGCTTGTGTGTGTCTGTGGTCTGTGTGTGTCAGCGTGCTTGTGTGTGTCTGTGGTCTGTGTGCACATTCCCCTGCTTCAATTCACTGACTGTCCCGTCTGCCTCCCTATTCCCCCTTGTTCCTTTGTCTCTCCACAGGCACGTCGGCCACGTAGGATGGGACCCAAACACAGGCTTCGATGTGAGTACAGCCCCCATCCGGCAGGGCGGGACCCGCCTTCGGCAGCCGTCATGGGACAGAGGGGGGCTGTGTTGTTGCTGTGACGTCGCCTCGCAGCTGAACCGCGCGTTGACAAGATTCCCTGTGATGGCAGATTCCTGGTAGATGCTGTAATGGGGAAAAGCCTGGAACTGGAGGCTGAGATTCCAGGGGCAGAATCGCTCCCTTCACTAAAGAAGTGGGAAAAGCTTTGCTGTCTACTACTAATAGATTTATTCAGTATTATTTTTATTATTAGTAGTATTAATAATATTAGTTTTGGGAATATAAATTTCATTTCTCATTAGAGGATTTTACGATCTAGGTCAAACTGTCAAAGGGTAGCAACAGAAAGACGCTTCTCAGAATCAGCAACCCTCAGAAAGTGAGTCTACATCTTTGACCACTACGCCACCTACTGTCCCCTAGGTGACACTGCTGGTTTCAGAGGTTACTTTGAACAGCAGTGGGAGGTGCAGGTAGTTTTATTGTGTACATAGGGAGTCATTTTGTTACTCCTCTCTGGAAGGGTTGTCATTATTTTTATCACAATGCCACATAGTTTAAATATCTAACTGTGGTCACAAAGGAATTGTATCAGCTACAGAACCTGGCGAGAGTGATTGGGGGATGTAGTCTGCACATTTACTGACAAAGAGAGGATTGTAAACATTGATGTCCGGACGAATGCAACCATTGTCCTGCATCATATTGCGATTTCTGGGTAAGAAGCTTTTTTTCCCATCTGGTAGAAATTCGCGTGATTCCCAAACCATATCGTGCCTGTATCCCTTGGAGTGTAAATCTTGCGGCCCCCCGGAGAGCAGATGAACGCGTGACCAATAAGAATAACAGAAGCAAATACTCAGGGATTTAATCTGAACTGGCATTGATTCAACTAGTGCAAAAAATAGAATTTACTTTTTGTAATCAGGATTTCTGTGTGTTGTGGAACAGCAGCATTTCCTTATGCCGCCACTAGGTGTCGCACAGGGACATCGCCGCAGCATGATGGGATCAGTACTGTTCAACATGACTGTAATTCACTGTCTTGCAAGACGGGGCTTGCACCATCTGTCGGTCACGTAAAAACAGTGGTCATGCCTCCCCCCACCGTGCTCCGGATCATGAGCCACCTTTCCTCCTCGATTTTCTCCAGCTGAACAATCTTGACCCGGAGCTGAAGAACCTCTTTGACATGTGTGGCATCTCCGAGGACCAGCTGAAGGACAAGGAGACGTCCAAGGTCATCTATGACATCATCGAGAATCAGGGCGGGGTGGAGGCCGTCAAGAACGAGCTTCGCCGGCAGGGTGAGTCTGGGGCCAGTGTTTGAGGTGGAGGGGGTCGTTGCTGTTAATCCCCGTTCACACACACCTTTCCCAGTAACTGTTAAAAACCAGACTCTGCAGCTATCGGGGGTTAAATTCTCCTCCTTGTTTATTTAGCTTCTCTTATATCAGATATGGACCTCGATTCCAAATCCAGGCCGTGTTTTCAGTTCTCCCAGGCAGTTAGTTTATTAATCACTGATTCTGATTGGCCAGAGGCTTCACAGCTGGCTCAGAGGTAAAGGAAGGCTGGGAAATCGGCAGGGCTCGGACCTCGAGCACCGTGATTTGAATAACCATGTGCTACATGTCTGAGTGGTTCCTCAATCTCCTCTTAACTTAGTTATTTATAACTGAATAATTAGTAATGATCACAATTTTCCATGTAGCTGTCAACTGAAAAGCAACAACGAATCTTATGAAAAAATCTTTTATTGTTGTAATTTCAGAGTAACCTAGAGAGACTTTTTTGAAGGCAGCTACAGTTGTGAGCCGTTGAGCAAATGTGATGATTTTGATTGGTGGAGAGCGCTGACTGATCCAGGTGGCGAGATAGGAACCCGTCTGCTACAGTTTATGGGCCTGAGATTGTTGCACGCAATGAGTGACGCCTGTCAGTCTGTTGGGCAGGGTGGAGTCACATCGCCACCTTCTGGCTAAATGTGGCATGATGCTTACTTAGAATTTTTCAGCAACCTTGAGCTCTGGATATCAAGTGTAATAAAGCGCTTTGACTTCCTTGTAGGGAATTTCTCTGCAAAAAGTCACTGTGACATGAGACTCCCCAGTATGACTGTGGTGATTTAATAAGAGGCGGCTTTTTTTCTCCACCCCGCCCCCCCCTCCCCACAGCTCCCCCACCTCCTTCTAGAGGTGGCCTACCTCCTCCACCACCTCCTCACAGTTCAGTGGCCCCTCCTCCACCCCCTAACAGAGGAAGAGGCGCGCCC